AAAAGGAATTTAATTCAATAGCTCTGCAATGTGGGCTCTTTGCTCAGGAAAAAATTCACAGGCAAAATTAAGAAATAGCATCAACAACCCGCAGAGCAGCATCTTGCCCCCCAGAAAACTATATTCAAAAGCAGACTGCTTTGGAAGCTCCATGCGGATATTCCCTGTAACAAACTGGGAAGCGCTCTGCACAGCTCTGTGGGCACTCACTTTATTATTATTCAATAAGATTTCTCAGTTTTGAAATTCACAATGGGTTCCTACAGTCCTTAGCGACATGGAAATTGGGAAGGAGCCCCTGTAGCTTAGGTGACTTTGGCCTCAGACTATCGTCCTGTTCTATCTGTACTGGTTGTGGTGCTGGGCACGGAAACACGTGGGTAGGGAAGACACACCAGTGACAGCAGCACCAGTGCTTTGCATTTCCTCTTTCACGCTTCCTGTGCAATGTGAAAAGTACAGACTAGTAGGGACTGCAGTGAAGAAACGCATGAGTTTCACATCCTTATGCACACTCCTAAACCCAAACTCTGGGGATTTTGCATGCATCTGTTTAACTCATACTTGGCCTGGTGATTATGTTGGTATTTTGTGCACAATCTGGAGCAAATCTTTGTGTTGGAAAGGGAAAAGGAAATGGTTTCCTGTAAGTGAGGAGCTGGAAAAGGAGAGGGGAAGAGATGGGATGTTTACTGGAGGAATACAATCTGAAGCTGTGGGGATAGACAGAAAAATGACCAATGTCACCAAAGCTACATGGGCTGCTTTCCCAATTTCCATATCTTTAAGTAGTAGCAGAATGTCAGGACTGGAACTGTGAAATACTAATAAAGAGGTGCCTCCTGAGCACAAGTGCCGCCTTCTTTACCCCAGAAAATACGTGCCACAAACTGCTCTCAAAGAAGGTTGGAAATTGAGGAAGGAAAACAATCATGGTGCCTTGACCTAGAAAAGAAGGATCCCCACCCACTCATATTTGTCTAGATAAGTAGATTCTACAGTCATGTGAAAAATAAAGTATACCCTCTTTGAATTTCATGGTTTTATGTATCAGGACATAATAATGGAATCCACAATCTTTTCTGGTAAACTGAAGAGGCAGAGGAGGAAAGCGGGGAAGATGGGATAGCTTTGAGCACACATTGAAAAGAGGCAGGAGAAGAGATGGGAAGTGTTGGCAAGGCAGGTTCTGTAAGGTCATCCTCACATGCAAAGCACCTCTGACATGATGACCCTACAAATAAGTGACCTCCAAAATGTCCTGCCATTAATAGCCCTACGCAGTTGTTGCAAACTCAAAGCTCTGGTTTCCTTTCTGAAGTTAATGCATCTGATATTTAGGCTTCCTCTTTCCAGGTGGAAAATTGCTGGTTCAGCCAAAGAGAGTCTTCAGCATGCCTGCTCCAAATCCACTGGAGAAGCAACACCGCCAAACCTGAGAATGAACGCAAGGTGATGCAGTAGCGGTTCCTTATCTCAGGTTCCCAGATGATGCTGTCAAAGAAAAGAAAGCAATAACCTTGTGACATCTCTCTAAGACTAAATAGTCTTAGACAGATGCTGTGGGACTACAGATCCCATCATCCCAGGCAGCATGGCCAGTAGTTAGGGATTTCAGGAACTGTAGTCCCAAGAACATCTCACTTGGGACTACAGATCCCATCATCCCAGGCAGTAGTTAGGGATTTGAGGAACTGTAGTCCCAAGAACATCTCATACCCCAAGGAAAGGAACCATTGGCTGTAGAGCAATAGATCAATACCAATCCCTTTACCCTGACACAATTATCTTTTGCACTCAGCCTGCCTAGTGGTCCAATGCGTGATCATACAACCAAGCGCATTTGCACGATAATGGTGGATGGGTGTTACACACAGGAAAAGTGACTGAGGTTATATGTGGCAGGTAAAGCAGTAGGGTTGGGAACCCCTAAGAGCACATCAGCCACAGAAACAGTAACTGAGGAGGTTGAACAGATTGTCATTAGTTTATACCGTACGTCTACAGTATATGCAACAGACTTGCATTTTTGAACCAGCTTGTTAGAGCAGTGCAGCTGACTGAGCAGTCATTTTGGGTTTGCTGCTGCATAATCTGTGAAAAGCTATGAAACAGAACAGGCAAAAACATTTATTGAATGTAATATACAAGAGCAATCCAAAGGAATTGCTGCATTGTGGTTAGTATAACTTGTGGTATGTTAGCATTTCTGCTAAAACACAGTGTGTCTGTTTCTGTACATTAAATAAAGTTAGGATTCAGTGGAAGGCAATTCTCTCATGAACATTGATGATAACATATAATTAATTTTTAAAAAATCTTCTCTTCCACTCGTTTTTTTGAATCGCCATTCACAAATGACACATTTCAGAGAGGCTTTCTGTTCCTGCCCTTTTTAGACTATTTTTACTCGAGAAGGGCCAGTGATATAGCAGAGAGAACTGAGCATGAAATCAGATTTAGGAAACAGCATTACAGCTCTAGATTGGATGGTTCTATAGATGTGAAGAAGCTCACTGTCAGAAATATCAGGCCAGTGACACGAGATACATCCAGCACAACCCCCCATCTCCTTATTACAAGGCATGATGGGATAGCTGCAACACTTCTGTGGCATTAATTGTTCACACTCAGGCAAAGAGGAACTGCGTGATATAATTGGAGCCCTTTTGGAGGGCGGTATTGCGCAACCATATATGTACAATAGTATTTTTTTATAAAGGCAAATTTTAATGAGGTAATAGAGCTATTTCACAAAAAAAGAGAAAAAGAAAAGAGCTACCATGTGCAGGCCCTTGAAACTGCCTTCAGGTGGTGTCTCTACCATGCCACCAGACATTGCAGATTGAAATGCTCAAATTATGAGGGGAAAGGCAAGGAACCAAGAGAGAATTCATACATAAACTGGAATGAAGCCTTTGATTCCAAGTCCTTTTAAGACAGAGATGTTCAACCGGGAATTCTGAGTTTTCATTTACAGTAACAGCTTCACAGCAGCTCTTTCATGAATGCGGAGATTTTGGGATACAAATCACTTTCAATCACAAGTTTTTTAAAAATTGTTTTCCTTTTTAATTTTTTTTTTCAAATGTTATTTTATAAGCCTGTCTCTTCCAAAGTTTTTCTCCCTCCATTTGTCTCTCCAAATTTTATTTTAGGAGCACCCACTTGAGCCGCTTGCAAGCCTCATTCCAGGAAGCTGAAAAGCATGCATTAACTGTATTGATCCATGAGAAGCAGCAGGCCTGCAACTAGGGCAAAGCGACCAAGGCTTGCCCCCAGGGCTCCAAAATTTAGAGGGCACCAAAATTCAGAATCAAATCTATTACTGTTAGGAGAATAAACTACACAACACCTTCCCACACCTATCCACTTATTTCTGGAAAGTGAAAATAATTTCTTTCGGGGGGGGGGAGGCGAACCACATTCTCTCTTCCTCCTTTTGTCATGTCTCTTGAGAAGAAATAAAAACGAGGGTAACGTCGACTGCCAAGGGAGTTAGCTGTAGTTCGAATTCTTCAGCTTTTAATTCGTTGTTTGGACGACACTTCCCACGACCCAAACGAAGGTCTGTCCCCAGTGTTGATTTTGCAATACCGCAAGCAGCGCCTCAGGAGAAGCGGCGGCTGTGTTATGTGTGGGTTCCGACGTGACATTGCGACCGATCCTGTTTACAATTCTCCACATATAAACTGAGCAGAACTAAAACATCTCGGATCGACCACCCGTATTCCCCATTTTGGAGAGCCGGGGTGGGTGCGTTATGTTCTGTTCTAATATCACGATCCTCCTCATCCTCATTTTTATCATTTCACCCTACATGAAAAGGCCTGAGTGTGTGCCCGGGAGGGGGGGGGGAAGCCGTTGCCACGAGGAAAGAGTCGGATTACAGTATGCCCTTGCGTGTGTCGTTATTATTATTTTAAATAATTCATCGGCGA